CGCCCGTTTTTGAACGTCCGCGTCGCCTTGCCGGCGATCGCTTGTCCGAGGCTAAGTCCACCTTCGACCGCCTGCTCCTTCAAGGAGTTATTCGGCCGTCTTCCAGCCCGTGGGCAAGCYCCCTCCACCTCGTGGCGAAAGCCACCGGCGGTTTTCGTGCGACAGGCGAATACCGTCGTCTGAACGCTATCACGCTGCCTGACCGCTACCCTCTCCCCGTCATTGAGGACTTGCTCGAGGATAGTTTTGGTAGCTCGGTCTTCTCGGTCATCGACCTTCAGGAGGCCTACTTCCAAGTTCCCATGGCGGAGTCAGACATAGAAAAAACGGCCGTAACCACGCCTTTTGGCTTGTTCGAGTTCCTCCGAATGCCGTTCGGCCTTCGCAACTCCTCCCAAACCTTCCAGCGGTTTATGGACTCCCTGCTTCGAGATCTCCCCTTCGTCCGTTGTTATATTGACGACCTCTGCGTCCGGTCCTCCTCGCACGAAGAGCACCTTCACCATCTTCGGGTCCTCTTCGCTCGTTTGCGGGAGGCCGGACTTTCCTTCAAGGTCGAAAAACTGCAGCTCGGACTTCCGAGCGTCGTCTTTTTGGGGTATCGGATCTCTTCGAGTGGTATTCGTCCTCCGGAGCGCAAGGTCCTTGCGATACGGAACTTCCAAAAACCCGCAACGCCAAGGAGCTTGCGGCGTTTTCTGGGGATGCTTAACTTCTTCAGGCGGAGCCTGCCACGTGCCGCACACACCCAGGCTCCGCTCAACAAGCTCCTCCGGGGTCTTCCGGTCGGCAGTCGTCGGCCGCTCATCTGGAACGATGAAGCTGACCGTGCCTTCGAAGAAGCCCGACGCAGCCTCGCGACAGCCACGGAGACAGCCTTCCTCTCGCCGTCCGCCCCGCTGCGTCTCGCCACCGACGCCTCCAACTCGGCCGTCGGCGCTGCGTTGTTGCAGCTTGTCGGCGAAGTTTGTCGGCCCATCCTTTGTTTTTTCTCCCAGACGCTGTCCTCGACTCAGGCTCGCTACAGTACTTACGATCGGGAGCTCCTGGCCGTCTTCCTCGCTGTGCATCATTTCAGGCGAATCCTGGAGGGTTGTCCGTTCACGGTGGTGACGGATCATCGGCCGCTCATCTACGCAGCCCGCCAGCCCTCGGATAAGGCCTCTCCGCGTCAACAACGGCAGCTTGACTTCCTGCTCCAGTTTAACGTCAAGTTCGAGCATATCAGCGGCCCAGACAACTTCGTTGCCGACGCCCTCTCCCGGACCTTGGAGGACACTCCCGTCCCGGATCGGCCTTCGGAAAACTCGTCGCCTCCAGCAGCGGCTCCTGTCTGCGCCACGGTCAGCCTGCCTTCAGCGCTCAGTCTCGAGGCTATCGCGGATGCACAAGCTCGCGACGACGAGCTCCCATCGCTCGCAGAACGCACCTCCCTCAACATCCAACGCCTCATCCTCGGGGGAATCAAGGTGGCCTGCGATTCACACGGCGGTCGAGTCCGGCCTTACCTGCCTCGGACTCTTCGGCAAACCGCCTTTGAGGCCATACACGGTCTCGCCCACCCCGGTGTCCGTGCCACGGTACGGGACATCTCGCAACAGTTTGTCTGGCCCGGTCTGCGCAAGGACGTCACCGTCTGGGCACGTTTCTGTCTTCCGTGCCAGCGTTCGAAAGTCTCCAGGCACAATCGTGCCGCGCTSTCCCGCTTCCAGGCTACGGAGAGCCGTTTCGAGCTTGTCCACGTCGATATCATCACGCTACCTCAGGTAAAAAATTACCGATACTGCCTTACGATCATCGACCGTTTYACCAGATGGCCAGCAGCTGTTCCGCTYGAGGACATACGGRCAGAGACCGTCGCCAAGGCTTTCACGTCRGCATGGATCGCGGAYWAAGRATGCCCGCTCACGATCACATCYGACCAGGGCACTCAGTTCGAGTCTTCTCTCTTTGCTGCGCTTGCTCAARTCTCGGGAAYCACGAGGATCAGGACGACGCCTCATCACCCGCAAGCTAACGGCATGATCGAGAGATTTCACCGCACGCTCAAATCGGCGCTTATGTGCGCCCCGGCNTTATATCGGCTACGGAGACTCCAAGACTTTTAAAATGCTGCTTTATTATCATCCATACGGTAAAGATTTCATTGTTAAAAAGTTGAAGTGTATTTTGCATGTGACAAAACGTATTTTGAAGCGCGCTAATAAGCAAAAAAAGCTCTCATACAAAAGAAGAAAATTTAAAAGAAAAACGCCTAACCGCAAAAAAAAAAAATAAGAACCGTAGCAAAAACAGTAGTGAAGAGAAAAACGACTGTTGTGAAAAAAGTTCCTGAAGTAAAAACTAAAAATTTACAATCAAACTGATGAAAGAACTCTCAGAGATCTACGGTTTATCAGTCAGAAGAAATTTGAAATCTTCATAGGATATGCGTAACGAGATTTGGGCAGGATACTACCACAAAATTTCGACTGATGCCAAGCCGAAGCATTCTAAGTGTTCCATCGACTAATGAAAGTACCTCAAATCTAAGGCACATAACACCTAAACACATGTTTAACGGCAAAAAAGTTGTTGAAATTGAGTGCAAAGTTTCGGCATGTATCTTCAACGAAGGATTCCGTACAGTGATGAAGATGAAGGAAACGATGGGCATGACAATTGGACCAGGAGCGATCGACTTTGCTAAAAGACGCGACGACCGACGTATCAAATCTGCGAACCGTCGAAGCTCTGAGTGCTCAAAAATTGCCAGATCAAAGTGGAAGAAGGCAAGACTGGAAGAAATTGAAGAATATGAACAAGAAAAAGGTCTATTGTACGGTCCAGGCATCGCAGATTAAGTTTAGGTAAGAATTTTTTTACGATTTTAAGTAAAAAAAACTTTAAACGCGTTTTTCTCGAAACTACGTTTTGAAATACTAGCTCCATCGTATCTCACGAACCAATAAACCGATTCTTATAAAATTTAATCCACATATTCTACACATGAGTTGTAACAAAGTGACGCAAAATCTTTTCTTAATTTTAATTTTTACTATTAATTTTTAGTCAAAAACAACAAAAAAAAGGTCATTTATCACGTTTTTTGTAATTTGTCAACCATTTTTTTATTTATTGATAAAATTTCATATATTTGCGTCACTTTGTAGCTGAAGTCATACAGAATATAAAACCATTTGATTTTTTTGTTTCAGGTAAGCCGTTCTCAAGTTCTGATGGAGCTACCAAAGCTCTACAGTTTTGAGGTGTTTTTTACAACTACTGTTTTTGTCACAAAAAATTAAATGAAATGAACAAAGAAAAACCTTTTTATGCAATTTAAGACTCCATTTAACAAACCCAACAACTTTTATATCGGTATCTTTTATAGTTTTCTTGGAAAAAATTCGCGAAAATAGCCTTTTTTTTAGGTGCTTCGAGTAGAACGTCCCCTTAACGCAAAAAAACCTTTTTGATCTCATCAATGCATGCGATACACTGCTGAATCGCAATAAAATCGACCCATTTCTGAAGCGGATAGTGACTGGTGATGAAAAGTGGATCACATACGACAATGTAAAGCTCAAAAGATCGTGGTCAAAGGCCGGCGAAGCATCCCAAACGGCGGCCAAGCCCGGGTTGACGGCCCAGAAGGTTTTATTGTGTGTTTGATGGGATTGGAAGGGAATCATTTACTATGAGCTGCTGCACTATAGCCAAACACTCAATTCGGACATATACTGTCAACAACTGACCAGATTAAAGCAGGCGCTTGACCAAAAACGGTCAGAATTTGTGAATAGAGAGGGTGTTGTGTTCCATCAGGACAACGCTAGATCGCACACATCTTTGACGACTCAGCCGATACTCCAGAAACTTGAATAGGAGGTTATATCGCATCCACTGTATAGTCCGGACCTGGCACCAAGTGATTACCACCTTTTCCGGTGCATGCAAAATGCTCTTGGCAGTACTAAGCTGCCCTCAAAAGAGGCTTGTGAAAATTGATTGTCTCACTTTTTTGCCAATAGGGAATGGGGCTTCTATGAGAGAAGCATAATGAAATTACCTTCAAAATGGCAACAAGTTATCTTTTGTTCGATATGTACATTTCGGTCGAAATGTAAGTTAGTCCTGTGGCGTCCCGCATGTGGCGATACGTGCCTAGTGTATCGACGCGGCACACTGGCGCCCTTCCTCCCTATGCGGGTACTAGACTAACTAAACCCAAGTTGAACGTAACGGTCGAAATGTAAGTTAGTCCTATATATGGCGTCCAAGAGTTTAGTTGTATCTTGTTAATAAATTTATATATTTTTGTTACTTAAATTGACGACTATCGCGTAAATCTCCAGATCAACCTTTTCCGTTGACCTTGTTCCCCACACCGCACCTCCTCGGTGCTGACACCTCTCGGTCGACTCGTCAAGTTGCAGCGCTTCTCACCAGGACAGTGCTGACACCTTTCTGTACGCCGGCACCTTCGCAGATGTCCCTAGCAGCCGCCGTGAGTGCGCGCGTCCGGTGGTGGCAACATCTGCCCGGCCACGTAGCCGGCTTAGGAAGTGGCAGACCGTATTGGCCGAAGCTTGTGGCGTGATTGCGACCTGAGGTCTTGATTGGCGGATCAACGTGGCGTGATCTCGGCGCGTCGTCCTCCGCGCCCCGATGATCTAGGATTCTGCGGAAGCTGGATCGATTTCGGTCATTCGTGTGCGGCACATAACTCAATTAAGTCGATATTTTCTTCACTCTCGTGAATTCAAGATATCCAGTTCTCAACCGTTAAATTCTCTGTGTTTCATTCTCTCGTGTGCTTGTCCAATTATTGTATTGGTCACTTCTGTTCTCTGTGTGGATCACTAGTAAAAAAAAGGAAGTTTCCACTGGCCTTAGTCCGGCGTCGATGATTGGTCAATTGCAGTGGTCAGTAACTAGCCACGCTGCGCGGCCTTTGGGCGGAACATCTTCAACTTTCACATTGGTGACCCCGACGTGATCCAGCAGAAACAGGTCTGATTGGTCTCTCTCTCTTTTTTTTCTTCTCTTTTTCTGTCTCAATTTTTTCTTTACGGTTTCGCCTGTGATCGGCAGAGAAAAACGCTATCTCGTTGCTATTTCTGGCTTGCCCTATATAACGGCCATTTTGATTTGTGGCAACGGCTAACGGCCATTTTTCGACCGTGGTCTTGAATTCGGCAGCAATCTTGTCTTCTCGTACCTTCGTCTCTCGTCTCTTGACCCCTCTCGCACACTCGGCCTGCCACGTCATCGCAGGATCCCTCTCGTGTGCGACCGATCGTTCGTACAAACTCGTTTGTCTTCGGTACCTCTCAGCTATCTTCGGTACCCTTCGGCTTTCGTCGTTGTCTTTCGTTCCTCTCCGTCTTTCGTTCGTTATTTTTCGTTTCACTTCGTTCACTTCTGTTCACTTCGTGCTTCTTTTTCCTTTTTCGCTTTTTTTTTCTTTTCTTTTTTTCTTTTTCTCTTTCTTCATCGATAGCATGCCGATCACGCGGTCAGAAGCCTCGCAGCGCGTCACCGGCGATACGCCGGGCGCGTCTGCTCGTCGTGATTTGCCTGCAACGGACCCAAGTGGTCAGCAGGCCACGCCCCCCGGCCCCCCCGGCTCCTGCGACAGCTTCCGCACCAGTCGGAGCTTCAGTTTTGGAGGGGACCGGTCCTGGAGAGACCTCTCAAGCACACTTGGGCTATTCCGCCCCCGCCCCCGCGACCACCACTGCTGCCACTCCCCTCGACGCTCGGCGCCCCGCGAGCTATCCGTGGCCGCGCTTCTCGCGTCGCAGTCCGGAGGTCTGGCTCGTGCAGATGGAGTCGCTGTTCCATCATAATGACGTGGTCTCCGATGCGGACCGCTATCACGCGGCCGTGTCAGCTTTTGATNTTTTTTTTCTTCTCTTTTTCTGTCTCAATTTTTTCTTTACGGTTTCGCCTGTGATCGGCAGAGAAAAACGCTATCTCGTTGCTATTTCTGGCTTGCCCTATATAACGGCCATTTTGATTTGTGGCAACGGCTAAAGGCCATTTTTCGACCGTGGTTTTGAATTCGGCAGCCATCTTGTCTTCTCGTACCTTCGTCTCTCGTCTCTTGTCCCCTCTCGCACACTCGGCCTGCCACGTCATCGCAGGACACCTCTCGTGTGCGACCGATCGTTCGTGCGAACTCGTTTGTCTTCGGTACCTCTCGGCTATTTTCGGTACCCTTCGACTTTCGTCGTTATCTTTCGTCCCTTTCCGTTTCTCGTTCGTTATTTTTCGTTTCTGCCGTTACTTTTCGTCTTAATCTTTCTCTCTCGTGATTTTCTCTCGCCTGTACACTTCGTGCTTCTTTTTCCTTTTTCGTTTTTTTTTCTTTTCTCTTTTTTTTTTCTCTTTCTTCATCGATAGCATGCCGATCACGCGGTCAGAAGCCTCGCAGCGCGTCACCGGCGATACGCCGGGCGCGTCTGCTCGTCGTGATTTGCCTGCAACGGACCCAAGTGGTCAGCAGGCYACSCCCCCSGSCCCCCCCGGCTCCTGSGACRGCYTCCGCACCAGTCGGAGCTTCAGTTTTGGAGGGGACCGGTCCTGGAGAGACCTCTCAAGCACACTTGGGCTATTCCGCCCCCGCCCCCGCGACCWCCWCTGCTGCCRCTCCCCTCGACGCTCGGCGCCCCGCGAGCTATCCGTGGCCGCGCTTCTCGCGTCGCAGTCCGGAGGTCTGGCTCGTGCAGATGGAGTCGCTGTTCCATCATAATGACGTGGTCTCCGATGCGGACCGCTATCACGCGGCCGTGTCAGCTTTTGATTCCGAAACGGCGGAGGAGATGTTTGACATTCTCCAGCGCCCTCCGAGGCTCGACAAATACGCTAACTTGCGGAAGCATTTGTTGACCAAATTTGGGGACACTATCCATCAGCGTCTCCACAGCTTATTTTSGGGATTATCAATGGGGGACCGAACTCCGTCTCAGCTTCTTCGGCGGATGCGCCACCTCGCCGGGAGTTCCGTCAGTGACGACGTGCTCCGGGTCCGGTGGCTTGATCTTCTCCCCCCCCCCCACATAACCCAACTCCTCCGCCTTCTACGCTCAGCCCAGCTGGACGAGCTTGCGGCCACGGCCGA